ATGGTGGAGTCAGGCAGTGCTCTAAGGACTCTGCCGTTTATTAGATCATATCCAGGGGATTTTTTTGCCTTCACTCTTCTGATGTGTTCAAGAACCTCTTCTTTTGTACATCCAGTTATCTGGTCTTCAGCTGGGAGGGGCGAGAGAACGATGTCTTCTGTTGCTTCGATTTCTGAGGCCTCTGCGGTAATCACCGGCGTGAATTGGTCTTGAAGGTGGTTTGCAAAAGCCTCAGCTTGAGCTTCGTCTCCAATGTGCCAGGAACCAGAAATGCTCCGAATGGGATGACGACGTATTGGCTGCCGTTTGAGCTTTCTTGTAAATTTCCATAATTGAAACTCTGCGTCAGTGGGCGATTCAGCTCGTACCAGCGCATCGCTGATACACCTCTTTTGAAGCAGGGCGAGAGCAGCTTTAAGATGCCTCGTGGCTTCGTTGTACATGGATTTGGCATCAGGCGTGCGTAATCTTAACCAGCGTCTCCTGGCCCATCTTTTGTGTATTAGTAGGTGTTGGGCCTCCAAGGTGAGGGGGATGTTGTACGGAGACTGTTGTCTTGTTTGGCAAGATGGTGGGGCGGCTTGGTGCGCAGCTTTGACTATTTCTTCCTGCAGTTTGTTTGCTGCGTAGTCCACGTCTTCAGGAGTGTTAAGTTCCATTTCTATGTGCAAAGAGTAATGGAGCTCGCGCCTAAAGACTCCTAAATCTGATCCTGCTGGCAGTAGTTGTTTCCTAATGGGCAAGGGCTGTGGCTGCGCGTGGATTGTGACTATTAGTGGCAGGTGGTCAGAGGATAGGTCCAAGGATTCTTCAATGGTCAATTGCCGGTCACAGATGCCTTTGTAGACAGCGAAGTCGATTGCCGAGGGCCTGTGTCCATTAATTGGGTAACGGGTGGGGGCTCCAGTCGCCAATATGCTGAATTGTAAGTTTTGAATCGCCTCAAATATGACTTCTCCGCGACGATTCGCACTATTGCTTCCCCAAAATGGGTGCCATCCATTCCAGTCGCCGCCGATGAGGGTCTTATTCAACCTTTGGCCTAGAACCTGTTCCATGTGATGATCACACAGACCAGTGTTTGGCGGAAGATAAATTGACGCAACTTCGATCGCTCCAATAGACGTAGGCAGGGTGATGGCTGAGACCTGCATTGTTGCGTTGCAAATTGGCAGTAAAGGTGTATGCGGTATTGTTGCTCGTATGAGGATTGAGGATCCACCAAAGCAGTTTGCTCCTTCACCATGAGCCTGATAGTGTTCGTATCCGAAAATTTGTGTAGTGGGGCACTCATGAGTTTCTGTTATTAACATTATATCTATGTTTTCTTGTGAGAGAAACGCAGCCAGTTCCTGAGTCTTGTTTCTCAGGCCATTGGCGTTCCAGATACCCACACGTAAAGCCATTATTTGTAGAGCTTGGTTATGATGGCCATTAAAGTGTTTAGCATGGTTGCTTGGTGGGATTGTACTTCTCGCATCGCTTTGAGCTCGGCATTAATTGCGTCAAACTGACGTTGTTGTTGCTGAAGCATTTCAGTGAACAAAGTGTCACTTGTGGTATTCTTATTTGACGGTCCACCTCTAGCGGCCTGTGCGTAAGAAACACCACTAATAGGCGTTGCAAAGCTCGTGGCTTGGGTAATGCTCCGGGGCCTTGTAATTTCGGAAGCAGTACTCGGACCCGTAGACGGTGTTTGTGTGGGACTCCTTTTTTGTGCTGGGGATTGCAATTTGCGCAACCGCTTGTATACTTGGCAGCCCTTATAGTTGGCTGGGTGCTGTAACTCACAGTGCACACAAGTTGGTGCCTGGTCCTTTTCGCGGGTGCAGTCTTTGGATGCGTGTTTCCCGGCGCAACGCACACATCTGGGAGCTTTGTGGCAGTAGCGTTGTGTGTGTCCAAATTCTTGACAGCGATGGCATTGTGTCAGGTCGTTGTATCTTCTTGGCAGTTCCACTGTGCAGCGTTGCCTGCAGACAACTCGAATGTCCAAAATTTCTTTGTTGTTGGGGGCCTGAGCCACGTCAACAAAAAATATATTTAGCGGTGTTTTGTCCATACGGCTCAGTGGGTTGTGCACATTTGTAATTGTGTGGCCTTTGGTTTCCAATTCCTTTTTAATTAGTGTTGTATCAGTGCTGGAGTGAAGCCCTTTGAACACGACTCTATATGGTTTGTCCTCCTTAAGCTGGTAGCAGTGGAACTCCAATTCCAGCTTAGTAAAGTGGTCTATAACTCTGCGATAGTCCTCACTGCATTGGGTTAATACACCTATGTTATTCTTCTTTGGCTTAATTACGTATGATTTAGCATCAATTACTTTATCTATTATCTGTTGAAGTAGGGCCACAGACTTGATGTTTGGACACCATATGGGGGGCGGACGAGGTTTCGGTGTAGTTTGCTGGTCGGTCAATACTGGGGCTTCTGGAGCTACAGGTGATTCGCTGTAGTCTTCATCTTCTTCTACGAGCAGTGAAAATCGATTTTCTGATATTAATGCTGCATTGCTGGTGCTTGGTTCGTCGAAGATGAGCCTTTTCTTGATGGTTTTTGGTGAATTTGGCTGTTTACGTTTCGTGTTTTTGTTGTTAGTGATGCCTTGCACAGAGGCGATATCTATTTTTGAGTTTATTGGCATGATGGAGGCTTGCCTATTTGCCATCACAACGTTAAGCTGGGCTTGCATTTCTGCATTTACCTTTACGGGTGTAGCGAGGTCATTGACATTAGATGTCATCGCGGATTGTGCTTTTGAGTGCAGGCGCACTCGCGCCAAGCGACGAAATTTCGTAAATTGCAATTAAAGCAATTGAGTTACGCGGAAGCAAGCGGTAAGAAAACGCTGCGTGTGCGGTTTTTGTTGCTGTTGCGTTGAAGAATGCACCGCAAAGTTCTATTTTTAGAACTCTGCAGCAGTAGAGCTTAAGCGAAGGCTGTTCGAATTCACGTCTTTACAGGTCGAACGACTGATCGCGATTGACTATAAAAGTTAATCCGATTTTAATAGATTTATTTGGAAGGGTATTTGAGCATGATTTGTATACTCTTTCGTATTTCTCATTATTTTTCTAACTTTTTGCTATGCGGTTTTCAATAAGCAATCCAAATTCGTTTGACCCTCACAACATTTCCGCACACGAGCTATCAGACAAATGTTCGATGCTAAACTTAAGCACAACTTTTCAGTACACACACACTCAATATATCACTCAATATATATATATATATATATATATATATATATATATATATATATATATATATATATATATATATATATATATATTTGTGTATATAAATATATAGGGATTCTCATACCGTGACCGCTAAATGTTTACACAATCATGCCATTCATTATTTTTGAAGCAAAGTAATGAAGATGTATTGGTGGTCCTTATATTTGTTATTATTGTTCTTATTTGAAGCAGCACTTGCTCTTATTTAATGAAAATTGGTTGTAGTTTGTGCACGCACACACACACATTTCACACTTGCAAAGGATGCCCACTGCTTCGGAGTGGGGTAAATTGCAATGGCCATACAAAAATTATTATTTTCACTCTGGCGCAAAGCAGCGAGCAATTTTTCTTGAGCCATGGCTCTCATCACAGTCAATTCGCCAGTTGCCGCGCTGTTGTTATTTTTCAAAAGCAAAAACATGTCCAGCGGGCGTGTGGGCGTATGGGCGTGGGGGCATGGCCGCTAAAAAGGATAGCGCACCGAGAGCAGAGTCTTGTTGAACAAAAGTGCTTCATTACTTTGCGCAACAGCTCGCGAGAATATAATGAATGGCAATAAACGTGTTTCACATTTTCCTTTTCGCTGGACCGTTCCGAATTTTCCGGCAGCATTTTTCATTCGTCCAAAAGTGAAAGAAAAAAAACACGATGTATATTAAATTTGCGCACTTGACACTGGACAAGAGAGACGCGTTTTCATATATGAAATACGATTTCATTCCGAGTTCTTACTTTATATTTATTTTTTAATGCAAATTAATGCAATCCTCGGCACAATATTGTTTACCCTCCAGCTGCTGTCACATATGGAATGCCTTTTAATTTTCTTCTTATTTTTGATTTTTTTCTCTCAGTCTTTCATGTTGTTTTCATTATTCCCAGAGCGGATGTTCACAGCTGCTGCCGCTGCTGCAGTTGTGAAAATTCCAAATTATTTGCAACAGTTCGAGTTGCTTTTCCTTTGACTTTATGGCAATTGCCAAGTTTAATTGAAGGCCACTGCAATCAGCTTTCAGTTGAAGCGAGGGAGAGCTGCGAAACTGAAAAAGCAACGGCAACGGCAACGGCAAAGGCAAAGGCAACGGAAATGCTTTTTTAACGGATCTTAAAATTAATGTTGCATACGCTAAGGCGTCGTCAGCTTAAGTTGTCGCCAATGATAGTAAAGCTGCTTGCAGACGATTTTGCAATAGATCTTTATTTCAAAAGCTTAAGAGATTTGTCTAGAATTGAGAGTAGTTAATGTTGATTATATGAATTATAGCATTGGTTAGGTAAAAGTGAATTCAGTTTGAAGCGTCTCACTACAAGACGTCGTGAGCTTGGCACGCAGAGTTGTTGCTTATAGCTTAGACATATATTGTTTTAATACTGTTCAATTTTTTGGGCATTGTGATTAGGTATATAAACGAAAAGTTAACTATAGGTGAACCTTTTTGGAATACATTTGAATATTGTAAACAATTTTGTTGTTGTTTCTATAGATGCAGCTGCCTGTATAATTTTTAATCTCTGGTTCTTGTAGCTTCTGATTAAACAGGCGAATAGGACAACAAATGAGTGGACTAAAAGATGTAAGATGTATACCATTTATTTTCTTTTTTTTTTAACATTTTATAACAAATTTACCATCTTTCGATGTTAATTGAATATATTTATATAATTAATTTCTTGCCGTGCAACAGATTTAAGAATTATATTAAAGTTCTACGAGTATATTTAATAAATTAGACTTTCTTTTATAAGAATACTTACCGTATTCAAATTAGTTATCTTATCCAACTCAACCGCCGTGCTGCCGCGATGGTGATGCAAGTGATGCAGGTGGTGTGTTGTCAACATGTTGCTGCTCTCAATGGGACACACATAAGTCTCAATGTGTTGTGGATATTGTGATTTGATTTGAAATTGAACAATCCATCAAGTGCAACGCCGGCAACCGGAAACGGATGTGGTAACGATTTCAGCGCTAGTTGTAGCTACGGCATCGAAACCCGCTGGTGCACAGGTGTTGCCACGGGGCAGGGGACACGTGACAGAGGACCGAACACACAAATTGCAGCGTGTTGCACTTAGCGTCGCATAATTCAAATCACATAACGTGAATTTTCAGCCAACTGTGTGGAAGAGAAAGAGTGAGAGAGAGACAGAGTGAGATTGAAATCAAATTGAGAGCTTTAAGCACGCGACAGCGGAACGCATTGCCACGCCTCTTAGCTGCCACAGGCGACTTTCACACCGATATCCGTCACGTCACATCGCATGCAGTTGGATTTTTTTGCGCCAGATTTTTAGTTGCAAATGTGAGAATTGTCGAGGGATTTTCGGGCCGTCAGTTTTCGCATACCGGATGCGACAGTTGCTAACCGCTTTTGGCATTTGGCGCGGGCTTAAGGGGCATGAACACTTCATTTGCCTTTGAGTGGCAAAATTGCCAGCTGGCAGCTTTAACATCACTGCAGCGCGGCGTGCCGGTTTCCGGCTTAACGACGAACTATGCGTTCCGTTGCGTTGCATTGCGGACTTGTGGCCTTGTGGCCAAGCATAAATAAACAAGCAGCACCAACACCAAGAGCCCACACTCAGTGGGTCTAAATGAAATTAAAGTCTGCCTCATAAAAGGTACTGCGCTTCACTGTTGTCTATATATGTAAAGTGTAGCAGCTAACTGGCATCTGTCTGACCTTCCGCTATCCCAGACCCAACAGGCTTGCTTGCATATAGCGCAATAAAATTACATTAAAAAGACAATAGAGGAACTTAGCTAAAGATGAGCGAAGATGGTATACTCTTTTTGTTATCTAAGCACATATGATTAATGTTAATAGCTACGTAACAAATTAAATATTTAGAAACAATACTAATACGTAATTAAAGCATTAAATTGTATATTGGGAATTTTGGAAGTCCTTTAAAATTCTTAATATTATTAAAATGAAATAAAGTTATTTAATATGTAATCAAGACATGGTATTAATGGCCACCTTCTCATGCTGTCAAGTAGACTGCGGGAGCTCGTTGAGGAATACATGATTATTCCTAACGTCACAACGATCGCATATAGAAAAGGAAGTTATAAAGAAAGGTTTCTAGTCCCTTTGACATATAAAAAGCCTTTCAATTAGTAAAGATTTAGCTTGACTTCTTCAAATGCGCCGTTTCATGCTTTGTATTACTTTAAGTATACCCTTCAAAGCAGTTAAAAAGAAATAACAGTCAGTTGCACACAAATGCTGCAGTAGCAGCCTGAGCAGCCCGAGCAGTCGGAGCAGTGGTTAGAAAGGTGAGTGCAATAAAGTGCGCGGAAATGGCAAAAGTGAACAAATAATTCATGGAAATACCTCAGGAAAATTGTTTGCATTTCTAGAGTTTCAGACTGAGAGATTGAAATAATAGTAAACATTTGCAGTGGATGATGTTTTGCGTCTTTGATAGAAGCAACAAAACGAGCACGAAAAGGCTTCACAGATCCTGCGTCAAATCAGGCTTTTAATTAATTAGTTTAATTGAGCTAATGAAAATTAAAACTTAAAGTGATTTCTTGAGTGAAATAAACTTGAAAAGAATGTGTTTCCCTTTATATAAAATATAAAGTCTTAACTCTATTAAAACAGGCTAAATGTATTTAAGGGAATTCAGCTAAAAGCTTCCTCAACTGCTGCAGATGTCTTAAATTTATTATCTTCTAACTTTTTTTACATAAAATTATATTTTATTTGCTTTAAACCGAATTTAGTATTCAAATGAGCTTTTTAATCAAAACTTTTTAGCAACTGGTAATGTTTTAGTTGAGTTTCCCTCAAGATATCATCCCAAAGCTGATTAACTGACAAACTACGGCTGATAAGGAAGTTGGCTTAGAATCTCATTTTCAGACAGAAGCATTCGCGTTTATTGTCTGAGCGCTGCGTGCGCTGCATGGAAATGAAAATGGAAATGAAAATGTGCCTCATTAAGTCGCGTCGCGTTGGAAAATATGCCGTGAAAGGATTAAGCGGCGCCTGGAAAGTGTTGCGACGGCCATTAAAGCAATATAATTAAAAATTTAAATGCATCGCTCTTAACAGTTATGAAATATTAATGCGGACAGCATGAAGCCAACGCTCGCTCTTTAATCACCTGCAATGGGATGCGACGTCTGCTATTCATTTGCCTTCACAATTTAAATGGCATATTTAAAATCATTTGCTGGCCCCTGCCCTTGTCAAATGAGCAAAAAGTTTCTCGTCAAACTTAAGGCCGCGTCGCTCTGTCTGTGAATTGTCAGCCAAAGTCAATTGCAAGCCCAGCAGGCACTTCCATGTGTGACTAACACAGCGGAAACTCTGACAAACACCACAAAAATACAGACTTGTTAAGCTTAAGCATGATTCTGAAATAAAGCCCAACCCAGCGCCTGAATAGGAAGAATTTGAAACGCTCATGCGAGAAGCTCATTAGCTTCGTTACAAATTAAGTACACTTTATACAGTCAACCATTCAAGACTCAGAGATACCCTAAGGCACAGGCCACAAGCAACAACAACCAACAGACAGCAGCTGAACTACATTGGTAAGAGCAACGTATGTACAAAGGACAGACTCAAGGACAGGCGTAACAGTCGTTCTGACACATTTGGAATAATTTATATTAACTATTCATTCTCTCGATGCGAGTGTGCACACACACAGACACTCACACACTCGTTAACACGCAATCATTCACAAATTTGTGATTAGCTCAAACATTTGGCAACTTGAGCTTTAATTTTTTATGTGTCAGCTAACAACAACAAATTAGCACTTCGTAAAAAATGTCTTTTGGCTGGGGGCGAAAAACTTGTAAAAGGCTTTTTAGCTAACAGATGTAGTTGATTCGACGCATTCTTAGAATTGTCAATTGAGTTTAAGGGAAGGATAATATAGACTGAGAGGCATGAATAAAAGTTAGATTATATCACATGAAGAAAGGCTTTTGGGCAGTTATCAAATGATACATGCTTTAAGAGAAAGGAAGCTCGGTATAGAAGAAATTTAACAATTTATTAAGCTAATTTTTTTATAATGTATAGATAGATAATATATAGTTCTTACAATCTTGAAATATTTCTTAGCCAAAATAGAAAATTGCTTACTCAATGGTGCTTAATACTTAATTCAATAATCATCAAGTTGGATGCAGTAATCAGCAAAGCAATTATGTTTTTCCTTTATCAAGTTCAGTCATAGTTCAGAAAGTTCATAAGAAATGCTTTCATTAAGCAAAAAAAGAAAATAAATAACACCTTTCGCTAACTCAGGCTTTAAGAAAAGAAAAGTTTCTCGACTGACACTTGAGACGTTTTAAGAGCAAAGCGATTAACGTTTTTTATTCTCTTTTCTGCACTGTGTAAGGCAACACGCAGTAAAATATGAAACGAGAATCAAAGACGAAACTGGACAAAGGGCGACAATGAGCAGGCGAACATAAAAGCGCAGAGAGCGAGAAAATAAAAGCCAGAGCATAAAGAAGAGTCGCATGCCGGAACGGAAAAGGCAAACGTCTGAACGCTGGTCTAATGCCAATGCCAACACCGGATACGGATGTGTGACACATGGCCCAGCCGCAGTTGCGCACACACGCAAACACACCCGCTCACATGGAATGTCGTTCCATTGCCGTTTGCGTTAAGTAGGCGACTTTATTAAGCCGAGGACACTGTAGCCAAAAAGTGTGCAACAGCGACCAACGACAACAAAAAAAGGGGCCAAACAATTTCAAAATTTATGCACACAAAAGCCAGAGGCCAATTGGACCAAGATGGCGGGGGGACTCTGTCGGTACATACATACATATACCTTGGCTGGCGCAGCTGGGCACGTGTTAGGTGTTGCGGCCTTGTGGCCACTGCCACTGCGCCAGAGCTTGAGGTGGGCCAGCTCAGGTTCGCAATTTGTTGCTTTTTGATATTTATTTTGAAGGTGGCGGCGCTTGTGAAATAAAGAGCGACTCATAAATCAGACGCCCTGCAACTTATGATGGGCTCCGTGCGCTAACAGTGCAACAATAGCCGCAACGGAAACGGAACAATGCGCGACCCCAAACAGCAAAACAAACTGGCGTTAAAGATGGCAGCCAGGTGCTGAGCGCGAGTCTTAAACTTGTTATTTATGACAACGCTTGAGAGTTGCAGCTGCTAACGGCATCTGAATTATATTTAAGCAATACACAAAAAGACTTTGAGTGTCAATAATCGAAGCGGAGAAGTTTACTGAAGTTAATAATTTTAATTTGTTCTAATAATAAATAATATATACAATTATATGTAAAGAATTATAAACTCTCTTGCAGTGGCAGAAGCTTATCTTTCAAGTGGGTATTGAAGAGATACTTGATAGTTAAAAAAAGGTAAGATGAATTAAAAAGTTGAGACTAAGTAACGAATATGTGCGAGCTAAAATTTCAAATTTAATAAAATTTTTAAAGATATTTTTTTGGTATACATAAGTGGAATATAAAATAAAATTAAATTATTTCAGTTAAATTATGCTTCGTACTTCAGGCTGATATATACTCTCTCGACTTTCTAATAATACAAATATTTTTTTATTTACTAAATATATTTTGGGTTCTGATAGAAGCTTTTTGTGAGGTCTGTTCAGTGCCATCTGCTTTGCAGCACCTTCACATTTGGGCCACTCAGGGCGCACTTGACTTTTTCCTTATATGCTTTGTGCATGTGTGTGTTTGTGTTTTTATTCGTTGGGCATTTCTCAACATTGGCTCAAAGTGTCATAAAAATGCCAAGGCATATGTATAATGCTTGCACCACTTACCCACTCACTCACTTATTCAGTCACTCACTCACCCACCCACAAACACACACAAACCGAGTAACAACAACTCGTACACGCAACCATTTACACACATGACTAGGCAGTGGAGTTTTTTGTGTGTTAAAAGGACTTCTGCTTTAAACGGTAAAAAATGAATGCTTTTTCTTGAAAGGCAGCAGAAAAAATGCTGGCCATGACCAAGGGGCATATTGTGTGCGGAAAAGGCATATATTTTGCAGTACCTTGGGCATCTTAGGAACGCACATACACCCGCACACAAGAGTCTAGTGTTGCGTTTCTGTGGTGCGCTCGTAATCATAAT